AAAAAAAAAAAAAATATGGTAGCACTAAAATACTTTGACAGTGTCAGTTTTGTATAGTGTCTGTCTGGATCCAGTGAATGTAGTCCTTCCTTAGTCTCCAGTATAGATGGTAGCAATGCACTAAGTAAAAAAGATTTTTCAATTTTAATTGTGCCTTATTATTATTGTAGGAATTTGCTGATTCCCTTGGAATTCCATTTTTGGAAACCAGTGCTAAGAATGCAACGAATGTAGAACAGTCTTTCATGACTATGGCAGCTGAGATTAAAAAGCGAATGGGTCCTGGAGCAACAGCTGGTGGTGCAGAGAAGTCCAATGTTAAAATTCAGAGCACTCCGGTCAAGCAGTCAGGTGGAGGTTGCTGCTAAAATTTGCCTCCATCCTTTTCTCACAGCAATGAATTTGCAATCTGAACCCAAGTGAAAAAACAAAATTGCCTGAATTGTACTGTATGTAGCTGCACTACAACAGATTCTTACCGTCTCCACAAAGGTCAGAGATTGTAAATGGTCAATACTGACTTTTTTTTTATTCCCTTGACTCAAGACAGCTAACTTCATTTTCAGAACTGTTTTAAACCTTTGTGTGCTGGTTTATAAAATAATGTGTGTAATCTTTGTTGCTTTCCTGATATCAGACCGTTTCCCGTGGTTGGTTAGAATATATTTTGTTTTGATGTTTATATTGGCATGTTTAGATGTCGGGTTTAGTCTTCTGAAGATGAAGTTCAGCCATTTTGTATCAAACAGCACAACTGGTGTCTGTCACTTTCCATGCATAAAGTTTAGTGAGATGTTATATGTAAGTAAGATCTGATTTGCTAGTTCTTCCTTGTAGAGTTATAAATGGAAAGATTACACTATCTGATTAATAGTTTCTTCATACTCTGCATATAATTTGTGGCTGCAGAATATTGTAATTTGTTGCACACTATGTAACAAAACAACTGAAGATATGTTTAATAAATATTGTACTTATTGGAAGTAATACCAACTGTATGGTGATAAGTATTTTAATTCTTATGGTTAAAGGGAAATAGAGCCTTGCATTAAGAACAGCCATTTGTGTGTGCAGCCAAGGCATTCTAGACCTATCTTAGAGGAAAATCTAATATTTGCTTTTCTAGATAATATACCTGATAAATGACCCACAGAGGCTTCTGTGCTCAGTAGGGATTTAACCAACTCTAGCAGTTTAGGGAGCTCAAATTGTGTGGAAAACAAGTTTAGACTATATGCTGTCAGCCCATTATCTCTGATCCTTCTCTAAAACCATTTGAAATGGCTTCATTTATCAACTTTTTGCTAATTCGTATCTGTGGTAGAGGTGGAAATTCGCACACCTTTCCTGTTGGCAAATGATCAGACTAGCGTGTGCTAATGTTTCTCCCATGCTCTCTTTTGTCAACTAGTTCATCCTCCACAAATATAACTTAAAGTTGGAGGAGAGTTAAGCATTGATGTAGAAAGCAGGAAATTTTGCCCTAATTTTAGAGATTATATCCCTAAAAATTAACTGAAAACATGAATGCTGGGTGGGAATAAGTGAGGAAAATATATTTATTTCAGTGAAATTTTGCATGTGTGAAAGATCCTAGGGTTTGTTTTTATTGTGGGAAAAATTAATCTTCTGCTAATACTGGCATTTTAAGGTAATAGAGGTCAAAGATTGTATCCTTAGGTTGAAGCAGCAGCCAAAAAATCTTAACACAAGGCCTTGGAATGTGGCTGCTGGCAACACATTATATTATGGCTTCCATAATTTAATGATAAAATTTAAGGGAAAAACAAGCCAAAAATTACAGATTTTTTTTTTTTATTTTTCACTAAACAGGCAATTGAAATACATGGTACAAAAATAAGTGGTAAGATTATTGTAAAATGAAATGGACAGAATATTCAATTTAATTTTCCATCTATGAGAATTTCACAATAAAATCATAGTTTACTTTGTATTATAGGCGTGCTTGTTGGATCTATTTATCCTCACATAAGGCAACTAACAAATTCCTGAAGTTACCAATAGTTGTTTGGGTGATCTTTTAATGTTTTAGGTATTTTGGGGGGTTTTGCCTTAATCAATACACCATAAAGGGGGAAAGAATTCAGGAACTATTTTCTAAAGTAGGTAAATGATGGAAAACAAATGTTAGACAGTGTGATGCTGTGCATTTCAGTTTTATACAGCCGAAGTTCAAACTGCAGGCTTATTCTTAGAAAGTTAGCAGAGAAACACTGTGTGAATTTAAGATGTGAACATATTTACAGGCTTACTTTGAAAAATTCTGTAGTAGTGTTCTTTCCCTCAGAGCAGTCAAGCTTGGGAATTAGCACAACACATTTCAGCATGCTGCACTGTTTGCTTTTATGTATATGCCAATAAATGCAGTTTTGAACACTATATATAACCATTTTTACCCCCATTTTCAAGTACAAACATTTCAAAAATGTTTGAGTTTTAGTGAATTACTGTTCGTCACCATTTTAAATGTAAGTGACTGCCATTAGCTTACCTAGTAGAGTGTTTAAACCCAAGCAGTTGCAAGCTCTGAGAAATCCTTACAGAGTGATAGCCATTGTTGGTCTGAGCAGTAACTTCCTGTTCTTTGTGTTTGTTTTTTTTTGAGACAGAGTCTACAATCTGTCACCCTGGATAGAGTGCATCACAGCTTACAGTAATCTCCAACTCTTGGGCTTAAGCAATTGTCTTGCCTTAGCCTCCCAAGTAGCTGAGACTACAGGGGTCTGCCACAACACCTGGCTATTTTGTTGTTGGTGGTGTTACAGTTGTCATTGTTCCAGCAGGCCTAGCCAGGGTTCAAACCTGCCAACCTTTGTGTATGTGGCCGGCGCCCTACTCACTTAGCTACTGGTGCTATCTGTTCTTTGACTTTGGATTGAAATTTCCTTTAGCATATTATTTACATGGTGCCATCCCAGCATATCTTAAATCAAACCTTGTGTTCCCCATTAAACTTCAAAATAGCTCTGTACTGACACTGTCTTCCATTTGCTGATGAGCTTAGCTTTGGATCTATAAGCACCCAAGTCTTAAAACTGGCTTTTAGTATTGCCACTTCCTTATAGACTCAGATCCTGTCAACTAAGGGGCTACTAAGAACTTCTATTCCAGTGTGGCACCACAATGCACCAGCCAGCCATCCTACTTGAATGGAACCCAGCCATGTTTGCTCATGGAAATGATGCTGGCAACATCTTACTAGGCTGAAACAGTTTCAACTTGAGTTTTAAGGGAATAAGGTCTTAAACCTCTTCAAACATGGCTAATACAATTGTGTTGATATCCTTCAGTGGTATTTAAAACCAGATTGAGAGCACCTTTAGTCACATCTTATTTCAAAGAGAATGAACAAAACTAGCTCTTAAGTTCACTCTAGGTAAGGTAGAGAAACAAGAGTATTCCAAAAATGAAGTGTTCTGTGAAATTTTCTGTCTGTTGAAGCTGATTATAATTAAGCTGAATACATACAGAATGCCACATTTTGCATTTAATGGGCATAATTTTGACCAATAGTTTATGATTAGAGGATGTACTCTTCAAAATGTAGGGTTTTTTTTTTTTTTTTTTTAGTTTTTGGCCCGGGCTGGGTTTGAACCTGCCATCTCTGCATATAGGGCCAGTGCCTTACTCCTTTTGAGCCACAGGTACCATCCCTAAAGGTGATTTGCTGTAGTCTTTTTTTTGTTTTTTAAAATCTAGGTTTTAAAGAATGTTATACATACACACTTATAATTGATAACATATATCAATTATATAATAAAAGGACTTCAGTTCCCATTATATAGTGTGCTGTCCTACCAGGAAGGCCCACAAAGAACTTTAAAAAATTCTTCTCTGTAGGCTCGGCGCCTATAGCTCAACCGGCTAAGGCGCCAGCCACGTACGCCTAAGGTGGCAGGTTCGAATCCCCAGCCCGGACCCGCCAAACAACAATGACGGCTGCAACCAAAAAATAGCTGGGTGTTGTGGCAGGCGCCTGTAGTCCCAGCTACTTGGGAGGCGGAGGCAGGAGACTCACTTGAGCCCAAGAGTTGGAGGTTGCTATGAGCTGTAATGCCACGGCACTCTACCCAGGGGGACAGCTTGAGGCTCTGTCTCAAAAAAAAAAAAAAATTCTTCTCTGTAGATCTGTGGTTACCAGCAATAACTGATTTTGCTTCAAAAAGCTATAGAATAATGCTTTCAATGGTTGATCTTAGATTCCCCTTCCCCAACCTATCAAGGTGTTCATGTGTCAACTCCCAGCAACAAAGAATCCTTTTTGCAGTGCCTGTGGCTCCGTGGGTAGGGCACCAGCCCCATATACAAAGGGCGGTGGTTTCAAACCCGGCCCTGGCCAAATTGCAACAACAACAAAAAAGAATCCCCCTTTTCCTGTCACTACTGACAGCTTGTTTCTGTACTGAACCAGGCTGTGTGATCCTATCCATTCCCTTCCCTGACCCTGGACTGCTCTTCTAAGGGAGAGTAGGAGTGGAAGGATGAGTCCTCCCAGAGGACCGTTAAGCTTGATCATCTCCAGAGCCATGCTGAAGTATGATGGTAGCTCCTCAAGTCCCTGACACATTTTCTTTTAAGATACTGTTAGGCAGGAAGGTACAGACCTAGACTGAAGTCCTGAAGATGCAGAAGGTGGCACAACAATCCAGAGTAATTTGTAGAGGTTCTAGTTATTTATCGCTTTTTCTACAGAGGATTAAAGTGTTTTCTCTCTAAATCTTCAAAGAGATTTATAAACCTAAGTTTAGTTTTATGAATAGATCCAAGTTTCTGGCCATTCACTTTTTTCGTCTTTTGTTTTAGGTCCTCTTTTATGCCTGAGAATATCAAGTATTTGGAACCCCCTTTCTCTTCCCAGCCTTCTGTAAATGATCTCAGCAGGTGGAACAGTTGAGATTTGTCCTCACTTTTTAAAAATGGATAGAGGAGGCAAGACCATTAAAGTCTTATTTTATCAAAAACTGCAAAGCCACATGCTCTTTGTAGAGAAGCACCGAAAGGAAAACCTTAGTGTGGAAGGATTCATTGTAAATGAAAATGTAACTCAATAGCCCTCATTTAAGGAATGGTATTTTAAAGCTAGTATATTAGAGTTAAGTTTCTCCTTTGACTTCAGTGTTGAATGGTTCTTGCAAGGACTTCTTGAAAGTTTTTCTCTTCACCCAGCATTTGGCTCACATCTCTGCCTAAGGAAATGCCTGAAAGAGAAAGAAGTATTGGTCACAGGCATAATGTTGTAGAGAAAAAAGTGACAAGAGCAGTCCCCTGCATTCATTTTATTTTATTTTTTTGAGAAAGAGCCTCAAGCTGTCACCCTGGGTAGAGTGCTGTAGCATCACAGCTCATAGCAACCTCCAACTCCTGGCTCAAGCAAGTCTCCTGCCTCTGCCTCCCAAGTAGCTGGGACCACAGGCGCCTGCCAATTTTTTGTTTGCAGCCATCGTTGTTTGGCCGCCCCGGGCTGGATTTGAACCCGCCACCTTAGGTGTATGTGGCTGGCGCCTTAGCCACTTGAGCCACAGGCGATGAGCCACCTGCATTCATTTTAGAAGGTAACTACTCCAAGTTACATTGATGCAAATGTAAGAGTAGCTATATGTCCCTGCTCTTGACATATCTACAGTGAGTTTTCACTTAGGAAATATTTTTTTTTTGTTAAATTCACCTTTATTTCTGTTCTTTCTGCCGCAATACAAGAATCACCTAGTTAAGCACTACAAATATTTTATAGAAGACGTTTCTTTTTTTTTTTTTTTTT